TTACGATTCATTAGGATACTTGATTTGTATCATATCTTTTACATTCTTTGTGTTCTGGTAACAGTTTTGCGGGACCTTTAAAGATCTCTGATAGAAATTTATCGTATTTATCTGCAGTTGTACGAAAAGTCATGACATAAAATATTTCGATGGTTCGAAAGTTTTTTGTTTTGTTATATGGAGTTTGAGATTGTCAAAGATTATTTCTACTTTAGGTGAGATCACCCCCTGCGAAGGTAGTTCCTTAGATTGTAACTATAGCTAAAAGGGAATGATAATTTGATTGAGTAACTTGTCTCTAGGAAGTGAAGCAATAAACCTCTCTTATCATTCCCATCTTCCTCTCTAGGCTCCGGCATTCAGAAGTATTCTCGGCAGTTTTTGCAATGTTTTTTTGAAAATGCTCAACCACGATAGTTTCCATATATGTCATGCAAGTCGATCTTCTGGGTTTTTGTTAAGGTTGTCTGCTAGATTAGCACGATTTCCACAATATTCCCATGTAAACAGAATCTTTGTGGAGTAAGTTAGTAATCTGCAGGCTTTTTAGTTTCAGTACCTTGCTTTTAAACATCATTTTTGGGATGTGTATGCGTTTGGTTCGTTCATTTTCTTTGTTTTTATTGATTGGTTAACCACTGTTCTAACAATTCTCTTTGTTGAATCAGTTGGTTTTGACAGATGTCTCATTTTCCCTTTTAGAACGGCTTTAACTACGTGAAAATCTAGTTTAGGAGGGATGCTTTTTTACTGAAACTTGCAGCCATTTTTTATTCCAACAAGCATTTTTACAGTTATCCTACCCATCCTATATCGTACAACAGCGCGAGGTATTATGATCCAGTACAGGAGACCGATATCCTTGGTGATGATGTGAGTGAGGCGCAATCCGACGTCTACGGACCGGGCACATATGCAGGTAAATAGATTTCTTCTAGCATTCTTTGACTTTCTACTTTTGAACTTGTGTTTGGGTGGCCGTGGTGTAACACGCAATCAGGGCGATCACGTAAATACAGTTCCTATATTTGAATTCAGTAGAACAGGTTGTTCAGAATTTTTTTTAAGTTTGTAAATTGGAATTGACAGTGTCGGATGCAATTGTATTCATAAAATAAGTCAATTGCCCCATAAGAATTCACATGGGAACGATCAGATCT